GGGGGAGACCCCAGAGAGCAACGACATGCCCAGTCCAAGTAAGAGAGCTGGCATCTGGACTCCTGACACGTTGGGAGAACCGTCACTGACGTAGCAATACCCAGAAGAAAAAGAACAGACAATTTTTCATGGACAGTCTTGCAGAGAACATTCTTTCTCCCTCCTCTGCATCCCTATGTGGAAGGAGCAGGAGCCAAGGAGAGAGAAAGGAGTGACATTAACACACCCTCCACTACGAACTGCTGTGGCCACAAGCCCACCTGCACCAGCAGAATGGAAAGAGCGATGAATTAAATATGAGATTAAAGATATTAAATGGGCAGGCCCAAGTCATAATACTTGGAATGAGACTGTCCTAGTTACTGAAAGTGACTGCACAGTTATGGGATGAGAGTAGAATATTCTTAAGGGAATCTGCTAAATGAAGAGTAAATGAATTTAAGTGGATTGCTAGAGAGTGATGGTTGTAGAGGAAAAACTAAAATCGCTTCCTACTTATATCTCACAAGCTCAGATTTCTCAAACTGGCTATACACTTACCATAATCTATAATTATTTACTCATTTATCGTTTGTCTTCCCCATAAACTATAAGCACCATGGACCCGAGACCATGTCTGAATGCTCACTGCTGTATCCCTTGAGTATGGTATATGTGCTCAGCAATAATTTGATAAACGAAGATTCCTTATCTTTTAAAGATACAAACTGAAATGCCTGCAGAATAAACAATGTGATGCCTGACATTAACTTTAAAATAATTCAGGAATGTGGGGGTGAGAAAGTGGGTGGAAATATAAATAGAATAAGATTAGTCATTCTTGAAGCTGAATGGTGGGCACGTAGGGTTCAATATAATCTCTCTTTTGGTGGGAGAGGGTATAGCTCGGTGGTAGAGTGCATGCTTAGCATGCACGAAGTCCTGGGTTCAATCTCTAGTACCTCCATATAAATAAATAAAACCTAGTTACCTCCCCCTTCAAAAAAATCCCTTGATTAATTTTTTAAATCATAGTAGAATCATAATTAACTTAATTTTAATTTTTTCTCAACATAATATGAAAACATCTAAATATACGTAAAAGGTAAAAGTGAACACCTATATAACTACCACGTAGATTTGACATTAACATTTTGTTGTGTTTCCTTTTCCGTATCTATCCATCTATACATTTATCCATCTTATTTTTGATGCATTTCAAAATAACTTGAAGACTTCATTACACTTCACCCCTTAACACTACAGCATACATACCACAGAGCTCAAAATTTTACCAATTCTTTCTTCATTTACAGTAAAATAATATATTTACTATATATAACTATATCATACATTTACTATATAAAAATATAACATTTATTTACATATATAGTCTACAAAAATACATATATTTATATTAGTTTTTATTTTTAGAAGTTTATTATGTTTGTGTTCCCCCAAATTTGTATGTTGATGCTCTAACCCCCAATGGGGCCTTAGGGAGGATATTAAGGTTAGATTAGATTAGGGAATAAGGATAGGGGCCCTCATGATGGGATACGAGGCCTTATGAGAAGATGAAGAGGTCTATTGTCACCCTTGCCCTCTCCCTGCATGCACCCACTGGGGAAAGGCCATTCGAAGATATGCCGAGAAATCTGCAACCCGAGAAGAGAGACTTCACCAGAAACTGAATTGGTCAGCCCCTTGATCTTGAACTTCCCAGCCTCCAGAACTATAAGAAAATTAATTTCTGTAGTTTAAGCCACCAGTCTACGGTATTTTGTTGTGGCAGCCTGAGCACACTAAGACATAGTGTTATTAGGAAGCCACTGAAGGGGACTTGATTACATACTTTCTTAAAGATCACTTTGAACAGGGAGGAAGGAGTGAAAGAGGACAAGAGGAGGTTCAGGAAGACTGGGTAGGAGGCTACAATAGTAGACTGGGCCAGGGGTGATCTTGGTTTGCCTAAAACCGTAACAGCAGACGCCAAAAGAAGTGAGTGCAAGAAATATTTAGGGAGTAAAACAGTATTTGTTGATGAGGAAAGGGTAGAGAACTGAGCATTAAGCTCAGATTTCTCACTTGAGCAATTGCTGGCTGGTGGTACCACCAGCCACTGCGGTGGGGAACACAGAAGAGAAGCAGGCTTTCTTTGCAGGGGTCGGGAGGGAGCAGGTGAGTTCAGTTTTAGACATATTCAGCATGAGACACCCAAGAAATTCAATAAACATTTGGATATACACACCTGGAGCTTTGAGGCCAGGGCTGGGCTAGAGATAAAACTATGGGAGTCATCAGCCCAAAAATTATCATTAAGGCGTGGGAATGGTTGAGACTGTGCAGGGAGAAGTATACAAAGGCCACGAGGAACTTGGTGATTTAAGGAGTGAGTTAGAGGAGCAGGCGTCAGCTAAGGAGACTGAAAAGAAGTGGCAACAGAGGTGCAGAGTCACAGAAGCCCAGAAAAGAAGCAGGGAGTTAAATAAACTGAACGTTTCACGGTATTTGGTGAAGGCAACTTAATGAATCCCTTCACAACAAGGATGATTTCAAACGTACCACCAGATCATCTGAACGCTGCTGGCTGTAGACCAGCGGTGTTCAATGTGTGTTCCCGATAGCAGCATCGACATCACCTGGGAACTTGTCAGAAATGCAAATTTGGGGGCCTCACCGCATACCTACTGAGTCAGAAACTCTGGGGTGGGGCCCAGCACTCTGTGTTTTAACAAGACTTCCGGGTGACTCTGATGCTCAGTAAAGTCTGAGAATCACTGCTCTAGGCAGTGCTTAGATAGCACCTGATAACCGTTCTTTTAGGATCCAGTCCCCTTTGCAGTCAACACATTCTCCTTTGGGTCTGTTAATACATTTTACCAAGCTGCTAGAGCCTGAGCAGCAAGATTCTGTCAATACCCCGCATTTACTGTAACACAAATCCTATCTTGATTTTTATGTTCCTGCCCTACAGCCGACTACCTAACACTTCTCCGTCTGCTGGGTACATCCTTTTTTCATCTTTATACCTTTGCTCATTCATAACATGTAATTACTCGTTATGTCTGCTCCTTCATCGCTTCTCTTTGTGCATTTTTTCAGTTTCTGATCCTGCTACTGAACTAACCCCTAAATCGCACAGTTTAAATTCCTGAGTGGCATGGATTGTTGGTAAAACCGCAAATTGGCACAATTCCGGAGAGTAATTTGGCATCATTTATCGAAACAACAGATACATCGCCTTTGACCCAGTAATCCCACTTCTAGGAATTTATCCTACAGAGGTATTTGCCCATGTGCACAAAGAAGCGGGCCTCTTGCCGCCCACTGGGCCACAGGCCGGCTCACCCACCCTCAGCAGGGGCCCCTCCACCCGCCAGGCCAGTCCGAGGCCAGGTGCCCCCGCCCCCCCCCCGTGAATCGGTTGAGGCCTGTTTACACCTCACTGCACACTTGAGTCAGTTGGAAGCAGCTGGGAAAGAAGACCTTGCAGCCTCAGCGTCCCGCACGCTCGCCCTCAACACCGCCCCCAAGCCGGCTGCGATTTGATTTTCTCGCTCTCTCTCTTTTTCTCCTCGGGAAGGGAGGACGAGGGCCACCGCCAAGGACAGCGACCGCGGCCCTGACCCGGCTGCCCACCGCCAGCCGCCAGGGGGCGGGGCTAGGGAGAGGCGGGGCCGGGCAGGCGGGGGCGGGG